TTGTTATTTGAAGTAAATTATTTGTTTTAATCGATACAGTGAGACTGAAGGAAAGATATAATAGAACATATCTTAAAATTTGTTAATATTTTAAAAGAAGTTTGAAAAAATCTGAAGTAAAAGTATGTAATTTGAGTGAACAAAATTTGAAAGATTGGATATGTACGCACAAGGGAAGTTAAGTTGGGATAATTATTCGTAGGGTATGATTGATGGGTGCATAAAATATTATTAAGAGAGAGAGAGTGAGAGAAAGAGGGTGGATTGATGGGGACGTGGTGCAAAGTCTGAAGGAGACAATCTATGCACCAGCAATCATTTGTACGTCGGATCTTATATGCCCTTCTCCCTAATCTATCACTCTTTCTCTCTCTTCTTCATCAATCATCTCTTCAATATTATATTTTTATTTTTTTTTAATTTGTAAATCAAAACAAAGTTATATTTTTACATAGATTTAAAATTGTATCAAATGGAGGGTCCCACTTTGGAATCTTGGAAATAGCATTGGTTGGTACTGTTCGTGGGGAGAAGTAAAAGTAGTTCCCCCTCTCTTATACTTTCAATTTCCACCAAGCTATTTGAATCATTTCACAGTTTATAAATAGTCTTTTTTGGTTTGATCCGTGAAAAGAATTACAGAAGAATTAAGTTGAGTTTTTTGATCTCATGAGACAATCGTAATCTTTGAATGTCACATTAAACATATTATAGAAAAAAAGCTTACTAATGGATGAAGAACAGAACACAGTGAATCATGGTGATCTCATAGGTGTTGTGTGGTGGCATAATGTGTAGAATCTACGTGCAGGGGACTCAATGAAGATATGGTCAATCTCTTGTTTCTAATCTTTTTGTAATCATCACTACCCATCTTCCCTGTCACCATGATTCAACCCATAATTTTCTTATATTAATCCTTCATTTTTTTTTAACCTGTAATAAAACTTAACAGTACAGAAGTTCTGACACATAAATGGATGAAAATTTGTCAGAGTTTTTGGTCCTTTCTCCACAGGTCATTATGAGAAATAAGACACGCTCTTTTTTTTTTTTTTTTTTCTTTCGTTAATTATGATGTTCATAATCATTCCCATCATAATCTTCAACTTCTCCAACCTGGAATGCTGCGTCGTGTTGCCAAAGCATGGGACAACTAACCCTAAAATATTTGCACTTGCCTCTCTATTTCATGACATTCTTCATCATTATTTTTATTCTCCATTCTCGTCCAATTAACGCTTTTCAAATCTTTGCTTTCTGATTATAGCAAATTATTAATGCAACGTTAAACATCACAGAAGCTGGTGGCCCAACTCTACTTCAATCAAAGACAAATTATATGGGAGTTCCCACATTGCGATTTAGATTTGCAGACGATAATAGGTCTTAATTAATATATAATGAGGATCTTTTCTTCCACTTCTAGATCATTCAAAACCCAATTTGAGATCAAAATTAGAGGTGTAGAAACTAATTTTAAGCGTACAACCAATTATAGAGCATATTAAATCATATAGTACAAAAATCATTTAACTTATTCTAACCAATCATGTTAGAATATAAAGATGATGAATCTCTCCCTAATTTCATGAGATGTTAAGTTCTAAATTCATGACTATTATGATATAGTATTCAAACCGTTCATCTTTCAACAAAATGGTGCCATTTAAATAAAGTTTCAGTTTAGTACAAATTTGCACAAAGAAATTTTAATGAAAGCAACAAGGCAGACAGACACTTTACAGTATTTTTCTGTGGATTTTCTACTTCACCTTGTAAGAAAAAACCCCTCAAACACTGAAAATTTTCCATGATCTTCCACCACTTTCGTACCTTCTCTGAGAAACTAGTTGGTAGCCTATTAATGGTTGCATTCATGGAAAAAAAAAATATAAAATTCATGCTGGTACTGTTGGTTTGTCATTGAAAAGTTATTGGCAGAAGAAGATGGAGAACAAATAATGACTTTTCCTTGTTGCATCATTTGAGAAATAATAAAAGATATAGATGAAATTGAATTTGGTGGTTGATAATGAGAGGAATTTAGGGCATGCATGCGTGAGATTGTGAGAGGGATGAGTGTATAATTATGAAGGTTATGATAACAATGATAAACAAAAAGGAAAGGTTGTCGAAAAGAGTAATGATGAGGGGAGAAAATGGAATATTATTAATTGGGTTTCATTACGGAAGCATAAAAAGAAGGATGAAGTTTGGAATGATGATGAAGATGGTGGTGCCAAATTTTTTGTTGACCACAAGAAGCTAAAGATGCCTTCACATACACTCACTCGTGCGTCCAATCATGCCTTGTATCAATCGATTTTCACTTTGTTCCCTTCTTTCTGACTTGGACTTGGATTTAGCAAAACAATTCAATTTATAACTGTGGGTTTGAAAAAAGGAGATTGTTGAAGACATGTGGGTATCTGACCTTTGAGCTTCTATATAACTGTTCTTGCATAGTCTTAGAGAGGAGTTGGGAAATAGGAATCAATCAATGCTTGTGACGTGTTTCGAACTTTGACTCCATAACCACACCTTCAAGAAACTTTCTTGCATCACAACCAATTGCTTCTTCTTTTCTTCTGTCCCAAAAATTACCCTACTTTCTTCCTTTTTATTTTATTTTCTTCACTCTTTAGTTTAACATAATATTAATTATTAGCCTTAATTTCACCTATATTTTAATTAACTTATACATCATATATATATAATTTTATAAAAATTTAAATATATTTTTAATTAGGAAGCTAAAATTAAATTTATTTTCAATTTTAGTCACTGAAATTACAGAACCCATCGTTTATGTTTTGGGCCGATGAATAAAAGACCAATAAAAGGACACTAAATTGCATGGATTTGGGCCTTTTCGGCCTCATAATATTAGATCGTTTGACCCAATAAAAGAGATAAGATAAATTTAGGAAATTTTTAACAAGTATATAAATTAAAATAACTATATTAAATCAAAGCATTTTAGATTATATACTTGAATGGAAGTCGTCTTTAAGATTTTTTTAAGAAGGTAAAATTTGGGATTTTATTATAGGATAAAGAAAACTTGAATATCTTTAGGAAAGTTTATTATTTAAAAACTTAGGGAACTTTATTATTCTAATTGGGTCGTGTATGTGTTTGATTGCAATTAGTGTGCGAAAAAAACAAGTGGTGTAGTGCAATGCAAGTTAATAGGTTGAAGTATTGATGATTTCCCAAATTCATGGCATGTTTTTTTCCCTAAAGATAGGGGATTTTCCTCACCATTTGTTGCTACAAATATGCACAGAAAAGTCAATGTGATTAACCATTGTCAAACTCCGTAACCTAAAATATAGGAATGGATGTCAGAATTAAGAGCACTGAAAGCTTAAAAAAATACATGAAGAAAATCTTAAATCCAAACACTTTATAAAATTTATATATTTTTTTAAATAAATGAAAAAATGTCATGTCAATCAAATCCAAATAATTCAAAAATAAATTTAAAAAATGTCATGATGCGAACTAATTTAAGAAAACGTGATGTGATGGACGATGAAATATTGAGATGTCATGCACTACACGAATTAAGTACATGTCTTAATTCATGTAATTAAAAGACAACATTAGAATCAAGCAAATCCCTTTTCTTTTGGTCAAAGTTGAATACACCTAATTTTATTATGTTTAACTTTCAAGTTATTAGGTGAGTGATTGCTTCACAACCATGCAAGAGGAGTGTATTCAAGGTCTTTGATTAGCATTTAATTAATAATAGTTTATGTAATAAGTATTTAGAATTCCTATATATTTTTTTAATTTAGAGAAGCATTGAAATGCACATGTATATAATTTTGAAACATTTAAATGTATTGTTATATAAGCACTTATAAAATATTGTATCATCTTAATTTGTTTTTAAATTATTAATCAAATCATGCTTAAATATTATATATATATATATATATATATATAATATTTTAAATATTAAAATATACACCTTCTTAAAATCCACAATTCAAAAATTCAATTTTTAAATAAGTCATTATAATAATCAATTTAAAAAATTACTTTTTGAAATAAATTATTAAGACATCCGATGTAAAAATATTTTTTTATTGAGTAACATAAATTGATTTTTTTTAATTTAAAAAAAATTAAAAAACTTCTTTTTATATAAAAGGTTTTTAGATGATTTTAAAATCGATGTAAATACCTTCACACAAAAATGTAAATGTCAAATTTAGGGTTTAATATCACACTTAATGTCAAATTCAAGTTCTATATTATTTTTTATACCTCTTCAAATATAGTTTCTAACTTTGCAAAATATTCTTTTCAAATATGACTTTGCAAACATATCACGCGTTACATATCCATTTAATGTTTCATATAAGATGCTTTTACTAATGGAATCATTATAACTTAAATTATCAAATCAAAGACTACTTTTTTCTCTTGTTTTTATTAAATTTAAAGATTAAAGTGGCAACACTTCAGAAATTTTGAAAATTTACTCATGATCATTTTAAAGGAAGAAAGTGATAACAGTTATGAAATTGAGGGGTTTGTTGATTTTACAATTCAATGCTTAGACTTAACAATCTATGGTACTTGACAAAATCTTTCTTGTGTAAGACTTCTTAAAAATATTTATGTGTGAGAATCTCTTTATGTTAATCTTTTGACAAGTTTTTCGAACAAACGAGTCTTAATATAATAAATAGAAGTATAAATAAGGTCACATAGGAAAAAAATCAAAATACACAGATAAATATTATACTTAAAGTATAACAATATTTTAAAGGAAACGAGAGAAGAATACAGCACATGCAAAGAGCATAATAATTTATCAAACATTTGTAGTCACCCAGAAAGGCAAAAAGAACAAAACTATATTTTCTGCCCTATTACATAGACGTATGAAAACATTGAACTATACCTATTGCTTAGCCACACACACACAAATGCAGAATGAAAACATTAAGTTCTTGTAGACTGTGTTAATGCTCTCTTCAACTTGCATTAACTTTCTTGCAATCAGTTCTGATTTGTCCTTGGGTTCCTGTCAAAGGGCTGATGTTGCCCATGTTGATCATGGACTGAGCAAACGCTTCAAAGAAGGCTGATTGGTTGTTGGCAAAGTTGTTAACAATGGAGATTGTGGAAGAGCCGTCAGTGGAGAAGAGTTCTTGGTCTGTTTGGAGAAGACCCTGGCTGATGAGAAGATTGGTGAAATAGTTGTTGTCAAAAGTATCAGGGGTTGAAGGATCAAGGTTGTTCAATGTAGCCCCATTTCCATTTTGGGGACAGTTTTTTTGTAGAGTGGCCAAATAGGTTGAGTTCAATGTAGGGTCAGGGCTTCCTGTGCCATTGAAGTTGAACAATCTTTGGGAGAAAAATTGGCATTGGGAGCGACCAAAAGTGTGTGCACCTGATAATGCAACAAGATCAGTGGTGTCTAAGCCGACAGCAGAGAATTTGGATGACACATTTTGCAGGTTCTCAAATGGAGATGGAAGGGAGGTGTTGGCACCACCTTGGTTTGCAGTTACACCGTCTCTTCTTCCAACTAGTACATTCCATGAAGGACCTCCAGACTGCACAATTTTACAAGCAACGAAAAGTAAATATACGTTCAAACATTCGTTTGTTTAATGTTATCTTGCTCCAAATAATCAGTACAAGGAAAACAATATTTTCATATTCACGTGGCTACATATATTCTCCTCGAAAGACCAAAGAAATAAAAAGATAATTAGAATAATTAAAAGTGTGATAAATGATGCAGAAAAAAAAGTGTTTTATGTTAAAATTCTTGAAGTGTGTGTCTTCTACAAGAGTTTAAAAGAGGTAGGTCAATTCAGGTATTTATTATGATCTCATATTTGATTTCTCTGATGTAGACTTTCACGTTGGGGAAGTGATTTTTTTCAAAGATAATAATCATATTTTCAAACGTGTTATTAGAAAGTTACCAAGGACACAGAAGATTCAGCTGCAAGTGCAAGAATATCAGCACAAGATACAACTCCAGGGCATGAACTCTCGAGGGTGCTCTTGATGCTGTCAACCACATCAAATCCCCGAACGGAATTGAAGTTGGGAGCTGCATTTTTCTCACTTTGTGTGATGTTACCACCTTCATCTAGCAAAATGGAAGCATCACACCCCTGAACACAGAAACAAATAGCACTTATCAATCATCAATCTCTGATACAGTAAAACCTTAACCCTATAATAATAGTCCAAAAAAAGATATAATAAAGCATGTTCTTGAGGGAGAAACAAAAGGAGGATTGAGTTGTGGTGGAGCTTTACATTGACAAAACAATCATGAAAGTGAAGACGAATGAGACTTGCAGCAATACGTGAATCAGATGTCAAAGCCTGCTGAACAGAATTCCTGACAATGGATGACACATTGGAGCATGTGGTGGAATAGAAGGTTGAACTCAATTGACCTTGTGAAGGAAAAATAAATGTTAGCAGCAAGAAAATGGTTACAGAAAGGGAATAATAAGTATTATTAGTAGAAAGCATGGTTGATTATTTGCTCTATCTTGATTCTCAAATGTTTGGTGGGTTGTGTGATTGATTTCTTGGTGATGTGTGTATATATAGAAAAGAAAGCGCGTCATGCATTTTTATTTTTTACTTTATAATTTTCTTGAAGATGAAGTTGTCACTGCTTATTATAATTAAAATTTTCAACTAGATATAGTTTAACATATTTTCAACTTTTGAATATGTAGTAGGTTCACGAAGGGACAATGGATTATGAAAATTAAAACCACAATGATTGAAACTTAACAAACTCGTAGTACTCATTAAGTCATAAACGTTAATCAAAATATTAGGTGTGTACGAAATTTCACCACAAGAAATTTTATAATTAGCTAGAAAAATTTGCTACAAAATTTATTTTTCACTAATTTGTAGTTAATTAGCTATGTAATAGTGAAGGAATAAAGTTGTAACTAATTTGTAGTAAAATAACTATGGAATAGTGAAGAAATAAGGTTGTAGCTAATCTGTAGTAAAATAACTAGAAGACTAATATTTTTTGTAACTATTCCCTTACTTAGTAGAAAAATAATTTAGCTAGGAAAATTTTTGTCACTAATCCCTCACTATAAATATTAACTATGTTACTTTTTGAAGTTATTTCCTAGCTAAATTGTGTAATATACCAACATAGCTAAACTGTAACAAATTTATAACAAATTTCAAATTGAAAAAAAAAATAAATTGTTGGGAACCATTTTTGTAAATTATTTTAGTTTTATAAAAAAATATTTACAAAAAATACTTGTAAATTAGTCTAAAAATATATAATTATAAAAAATAATTTTTGATCTTTTTGAAAAAATATCAATAAAAATTAATTACAATTTTTTTCTTAAAAAATTATTTCTACCAAATTTATTATAAATATATAATTATATATAATTGTTTTTATCTAAACTATTTGGAAATAATTATAATTTTTTTAAAAAAATATCTAAATTTTTTGATAAATATTTAAAATGATTTTTTGTAAGTTTTTTATAAATTTAAATTTGTTGGAAGTATTTAATAATATTTAAATTAATAGAAAAATTTATAAATAATATTTTTTTTATAATTTTTTTAAAAACTATTCTTTATAAAAAATAAAAAAATTATTATATTTAGAAATACTAATTTATCTTTTTTTTTATAATTCTTTTAATAAAAATCCTAATTAATCTTTTTCCCATTTTCTTCATGTATCCTTTTCTTCTAAAACCTAACTGGTGCTATAGCTATCATCGCTCCCGCGTCGTTCTTACTACCGCTCCTGCACCATCCTTGCTTCTGCTCCCGTTATAATACGGAACCTAAGGTTTAAGAAAACACTTTACCCTTTTTATTTTATTCTATTTTCTTCTCTTCTTCCCTAGGGTTTTAACGCTAGGGTTTCAGTGTTCACTCTCTATTTTTCTCTCTCACTCTGTTTCTCTTTCTTTGGGCATAGTCATGGATAGGTACCAAAAGGTGGAGAAGCCTAAGCCCGAGTCTCCAATCAACAAGAATGAGATCCGAATCACAACCCAGGGCGCTATTCGCACATACATCACCTCAGCTCCTTTAATGTTCGATTACCTTTCGTGAGAAACCTTCGCCTTTTGTGCGGATTGGGGTTTTCATTCAAGGTTGCATTTTCGGGCTTTGAGACTTAGTTTTGTTTATTTGTTTGTTTGTTTGCTAAATGCTAGTGTGTGGGGGTTGGATTGGCAGTGTTTGGTTTGTGATATGTGGCATTTTGTATTTTTGTTTGTTTTCGTATGACCTTTGATTTTGGAAACTCTTTATTTGCGATAGAAAATATTTTATGTGGGTTGAGTATTGAGATTGTCTCCTTAGTTTCTGGATTCAAAGCTAAAGCACCAGTAACATGTGGAGTTCAAAGCAATGAGAATAGACTTTTCTGAAGAGAACCAAATAACATGAACTGCATAATCACGGAGTACCTCTTTCTTTTGTTACTTTTTCCCCTTGGCTATTAAGCTTATTTATTTATACAACAATTACCTAGGCCTTTTTGCTTCCCACTTGGCATATTTATGTGATGTTGGGTTGTATTTTATCTCAAGTTCATTGAATGAAAAAATCAGCCGCATGATCACCTTACGCACCACTTTTAAAGATTTCATTTAGTAATATTGAATCTGTCAACGTTAAAATTTACAAACTAAAGCGAGTTCATTGATTGAGAGACATTCATTTCTTCACCCTTCTTGTAAATGCTTCGAACCAATAAATATTAGTTAATGTTGGATCACCGATAATTTCCATCACATGCCTCGTATTCATGACTCAATGATATCCATATTTTCCGGTGAAGTGAAACTTTTGAGTAAGTATTATGTAAACATTGATTGAGATTATAGAAATATTTTTTTCATAGACAGAGATTCTAAGTCATATTCTTTTTTGGTGACACAATGTTAAATCATACTAACATGTTCTCCCAACAATACAATTTATGGGACCTGCATTGAGAGTTATTGCAGGTACCATGTATGCTTGGAGCAACACTTAAAGATTGAGAAGGTGAGTAATTTGGAGCACAACTTCCAATGGTTGGGTCATTTGGTGCCACTATTTCTACCTGTTTTGCACTTGGGTCATTTGGTGCTACATAAAAATTCCCTTCACTTAAAATGGTTGGGTTAGCACTACCTCCTATAGCATACATTTTCTACTCATCATATTTGTTGTTGACCACATGGGCGTAACCAAATCTTACCTTGCATTTTCATCCAAGTGAATACAGTATTTATCTCCATCGAACATGCAAATTCAATCCATAGAAAAATCACTCTTACCTTGGCATCCTTTCAGTTAGGCCACTAGCAAACTGGTTGAAGGCTATTGTTACTTTAATTATTTTATCCCTTGTGAATTGGTCATTGTGTCCTAGCAACATAACCTGCAGGCACGTTTCCTCATTCAAATATTATGTTCTCTAAAAACATATGTATGTGCCCAAATTCTAAGAAGGGGGATAGGTAGCAACGTGGTTACTATGGGTTTGCATAATTTAAAATGATCTGAAGATGTATTTTAGATGGTGAAACATGCGGCTATAATTGCTGATTGGAACAAACTATACTTGGTGGTTTATGATATGGTAATAATTGTACATGCATAATAAACTACGAAAGAGGATTGTTTAACACCTTTTTCTACTAGCAGTTTGATTAAAATTTGTTAAAAATTACAAAAGCATGAAAGTATTAAATAAGAAGTGAATCTTGCTAAAATTTATAATTTGCAACAAGTTTTAGTCTAAATAGAAAGTGTATTGCTAATATTCTTTAATTATGAAAATATTGAAGTAATTTTTTACTATTGATCTTTGGGTTTATTGGATTATTTATATACAGATACCCTGCTTTGATTTCCGTAAAAAACTCAAGATATATTAAATAGATAACAAATATGTGTTTCTTTCTTCCCTTAATAAATAAAAGCCAGCCACATAAGTTTGTAAAGAATTAAATTGGGGGAAAACTTTTCATACATCACAACGCTCGAACATTTGTGAGTTTTTGGCTATCCACACATAGATTAAGATTTTTCGATTTCCAATTTGAAGTTATACTTGTTCTTTATAACTTAGTACTAATGAATAGGGTTCTAGAATCAATAACTTCACTGAAAATCTTCCTCCACACCTTGGAAACCTTTCTCGCATTAAAAGATTGTAAGCCCTGTATTATATCCTACTTGATTTATTTTATTTAACTTTGCTTGCTTGAATTATCAAACTACAATAGAGAAAAAAATCATAAGATGATATTTGAATATCGGTTACATATTATGATATTATTGTATATGAGTTTTTAATTGATATTGGGAGAAAATTCTTATCATATTCCCTCACATTAAAAAGATTTTTTCATAAAAACTTTTCCATTTTTTTAAAACTTTTATCTAGTTACAAATGTTATTACTTTTAAATAATTATTATAAAAATTCATAAATATTTATCCTAGAAAAACTACATCCCAAGGATTTTACTATCTTAAATATTAATGTTATGAACAGATCCATTCATGCTATGATGTTAAGTTTTATTGTGCCTATAGAACCAATAAAGGTTCCACCATATTTTATCATAGGTTGTAATGAAGTGTTCACCTTCATTGGGCGGTTAGAGTTCTTCTATATATTTTTCTGATCTTTGTTGATTCTCGTAGTTGGATAAAGACTATCGGTGAAAATAAAAAAGGTAGAATTTATGGTATAGGTCGAGTTTGGATCTTGGTATTTCACATGTTTCATCTTCATCAGTTGAAGGTCCCTCTTCCCAAAATCTTACCACACCTCTCACTTGAAGAAATCACTACCTTATCTACACGAGATATCTAGTTTGCAAAAGCGAGATGAAAACACGATTGCAGTACACAAGCTCGATATGCAAGCATTGATGCAAGCACAAATGAAGATACAAGCGAAATGCAAACACTCATGCAACAACAAATGCAAGAAGAAATGCAGTCTTTCAAGAAAGATATATTATCTGCCTTAAAGAAACAATGATGAAAACATACTTTAAACTTTGTTTCTATTTGTAATTGTGTTATACAGAACTTTTTAGTTGAAATATTATTTTTGTTATGTTTTAATTGTTTGAAACATCATTTTAACTATGTTTAAACAATACTTTTATATTAAAAGTTGATAAGTTTGTCTTCTTTTTTAAGAATGAGTAATAATTTAAATATTAAATATTTGATATTATAAATTTTGATAAAAATTATGAGGGATTAGCTATGAAATAGTGAGAAAAACATTGCAAAGGATTAGCTACGGATTAGCGAAGAAACAATTGTGAGGCATTAACCACTAGCTAGAGATAAATTGTTAGGGATTAGCTACAGATTAGCGAGAGAAAAATTGTGATGGATTAGCTACGGATTAGCGAGAGAAAAATTGCGAGGGATTAGCTACGGATTAGCGAGAGAAAAATTGCGAGGGATTAGCTACGGATTAGCGAGAGAAAAATTGCT